CTTCCACATTTGAAGTAGGTATCTACGACCAGTTATCTGTCAGATAATATTTCAGGAAATCTCTTTTTATATATGTAAGTATATATAGATAATAACAAGTTTATTTCACAACGAAGTTAAAGGACACCCTTTTTACTGTTCGACTTTTAGAAGGCACTTCCGTGCCCCCAGATATTGCAAAATATAACCACTCTATTTGTGATTTCTTATTTGAAATTTCAATTTCATTTTTCAAATGAGTCATCGAATATGTGCGCTTAAAGCGTAGAATTCTGAAATCCTCGTGGGATAAAAATGAGATGAATTTATTTAGTGGAACTCGTAGCCAGTTCCACATTGGCCAGGTAGGGAATGATCTTAATTACGTTCATCGATTATAAATTCGTAATTTACTAATGATCGAATTCAAGTGCCGTGAAATTTTCATTAAAATTTAGTATGTACCTATTTATGCCATTTTCGTATAGGTACATTTTTATTTACTAAAAGTACCATTACTTGGAATATTACATATCAAAGAAGATTATGTATTTCTTATGCTGACGATACTTAGAATATGAAATACTGAAGTTGGTAAGTAGATATATTACGCCTAATATGTTTGAGTGGATAGAGCAATTCCAAGGAAATCTGAGAGGTTTGAATATAAAGCGAAGGTTAAGTCACTTATGGAAATAAGAAAACTTGCGCGCTGTTCCTAAGTTTGCGATAGAATACTCTACGAAGTGGTTGTTTATAAATATAATATTACGAAGGTATCACGAACTAATAAAGAGTTAGATTAACTATATTAGACAAACGCGGAACACGACCAATGACGTCATCAAAAGCGCGCGCTAAATGGCGGCATTTGAACGGCTGAAATTTATTCAATGTTTACAATTCCATTTTTAAAAAATAATTAGAAAATTTTCAAGTCTATTTTTATTTTTTCTTTATAATAAATCTGGAAATGATTAATTTAATAAATAAAAAGAACGTGCATATTCTCTATTGCAGAATTTTCTTTTGAGATAGCAGGATTAAAAATAACAAATAGGCTGCATCGGCATTTATTCAGGGGCCATTAGTGCTGCCGAGACGCGCAGAGTCAATAAATCATTTCTCAGCATCGCTACCATTCAATAGCAGTTCTTGCTGCATTTACACCACACGACTAAATTCTATAGATATAACGTCTTTATTCTGGTTATACATAACTTTAATAGTTGAATTCTGTTTTTAATTCATATGTTTTTAATTTAATTCAAACTTTTAAACAAGTGTTTGAAAATTGTATTTACCTCGTTTAAAAAGAATGTCAATAGTTTGTAGTGTGTGAAGGCTTATTAAAAAGATGTCATATGCACATTAAAATTAAAAAGTAATAAATTATTGTAGGTACACTGGTAACTTAATTCTAATGGTGGAAGTGGGTGGCGCAATGAAAAGAACTGGTAGAACTCCTCAGTCTTGATTTATATGCAATTAGCACACTTACAACCAAAAACTATGATACTCACTTTAAGCTGGTCTCATCAGAAAAAAAAAGATTGACAACCAGCAAAACACATACACGCGAATTCGAATACGAAAAAGTAATAATTTTAAAATGTGAACGGCCAGCATTGACCATAAACCGTCCGAAGAGAAAACCTGCCTATAGGAAGGCGCACGGACGTTACAGTACATCTGATAAAATTGTAAATTTATTGACGTCTAATTTATTGTCTTAAGATATTCATATAAGTGTCATCAAAAGTCAAACCTTTTTCATTTTCTTAGTAAATGATAGTTTTAATTTAAACGTCTTCATTTACCGCTTAAGAGTATCGGAATCGGATGATATAAAACGCCTAACACCCTCAATCGCTCTTCAAATATGAGTCGGCAATAGATAGCTAATGTGCTCGAGAAAACTGCTTGTTGGAATAGAACCGTTAATATTGAGTACATACCTATTGTTGTTTTCCATGTGTTTAATGATCATAATATAATGAAAAAAATACAGAAGAATAATAATAAAGAATATATCATACAGCCTGGGTGTGGAAAAAAGAAAAATTTGGTAAAATTAATGCAATATTAATGAAAAATGCTTAAAAAATCCACTTTGTCCCTGACACTCTGAGATGGGACTCGAACCCATGACCTTTCGCAATACAGGCGACTGCTATAACCACTAAGCAACTCAGGACCTAACTGGACTGATGAATTTTCCAAGCACTTGTTACTTATTAGTTACTAAAGAGCGTATTTTCATCAATGTTCAGTCAGGCAATCCACCCACACAGCCAAAACAAATAATTTTCCAAATATTTAAAAAAAAATTTAAACAAGCATTTTTCAACAAGAATATAAATATTTTTTTCATAGCAAACAACCAATTCCATGTGAAAATAAATAAGCAAAGTACTAATCTTACGCTATTTATATCTTAAACTCAAAACAGGATTTTCTCTCAAAGGTTCTCTGTGAATAATTTTTAAATCTATAGGTAATTATAAAGTTATACACATGAATAAGACTATTATTTAAATATACAAGCATTGTGGTGTGTACATTCTAACTTAAATTATTAATTTTAGGACTGTTTATATGATTTTTTTGGATATTTTCTGTGCTATTTATGGTACATACCTAATAATAAAGGAATGATAATAACTTAACGTTAATAATGAAATAACATTTCCATTTAAATGCAGGAGAGAAGCGCCAACACGAAGGCATTAATAAAATCTTAAAAATGGGACCAAGTATGTAGAGTAGACGACGTGACGCCGCTTCCGTTTAAATTTATTAAAGAATATAATTCATTCATATAATTTTTACTTTATTACAGTCGCAGTGTTCCAGAATTATATGTTATTTTATCCGTCCTATTAATCCTGTACCAATTTCATTTCCTCCGAGCGGCGAGCGGCGAAATTACTTTACAATATAATTACCGAGGACCATACCAATGCGCTCCGATTTATTTCTGCAATCGATTTATACTAAAAATGCATGAACAGCCGTCGGCGAAACGATTAAAGTATTTATAATTCTCATTTCAAATAATAGATTTTTACTCGCCACTTCGTTTGTGTACATACGGGTGCACATCAGCTACCAATTGATTTTCAACTCTACATTCAATGTAATAAAGTTTAAAATCAAGTTTTGTATAACCTGACGTGCTGTTGACTGTACATAACTTACGATACAAATTTAATCCTATTTATTTAAATATTTAACGGACAAAAATTATTATTAAATTAATGAATTCTTGCAAGATAGAACTCATTATTAATTATTGTATGAATCTTCTGATTATAATATTAACCTATTGTATCCATGGACTTACTTCTGTATAACAGGACACAATACTCCCAGCTGAAAAGCGCGCCGAGCTAGGTATCAAGTACATATCGACGCTGGATAGCAAACACGTAGTAACCTGCAAAACCAAAATGGATATTTAGAATGGAAAATCTTTAGATTTTTCCAAAAATATATATCTTATATCTGTATAAATTGACTAATGAACACCTTATTTGTTACCATGGACGTTAATAGGAATTATTTATCGAAAAAAATCAAAGTTTTTCTGCTCTGAAGATAAATTTTGGTTTTGCGGGTTACTACGTGTTTACTTTCTAGCGTCGATATGTTATTTGTACCTTTGTTTGATATCGAATTGCGCGAAAAACCTATTATCATAATAAAAATATATTTATTGTAACAAAAAGTTTAACGAGATTATAGGCTTTTCGCAATTTGATATCAATAAGCAATTTTTTTTTAATGATTATGACGACCGTATTATCCGGGTAAGAATTACTGAAAAAAATAATTTCATCCATTAAGAATACCTGTGCTTTAGAACCACCATTCCGCATTGAGACCTCCACGTGGGCCCAGCTAGGAATGCTGGGTGAAGAATAACTACATATATTTTGGCACCGCCAATCCTCATAAGGACTTTTGCACTTTTGCGGGCTTAGTGCGAAATGTTGGGTGGTTGGTTGTTACATACATTAAAAATATATCCAATAATCTCATTTAGCAATGCCGGGTGGATTGGCTTTAGCGCTACCAATCCGCATTGGGATCTACATGTCGGGTGGTTAGCGTGTTTGATCTACGGATTGAATGGTTGACTAAATATTTTACATGTTACTAAGTAAAAAAAATCCGACAAGAGAAGAAAAGAGTCCTAAGACCCGCCACACCCCCGATCCGCACCACACCATCCCGCCTCATCCCGCAACGCCTATCGTGCTCCACCATACTCAACCAATTGATCACCCATCCCATTACTAGTCAATAAATATGTTCACTCATCCCATTACTGACCTTTGCGAACATCATTAAATCTTCACAATCGCATATCAAACCTACTAACCATTAATACACATAGGAGAAGGGAAGAGAGCAAAATCCGCCACATTCCGCCAAATAAATAAATTTGTCACCCATCCTATTCCTAGCCTTCGAGAATGTACACTTAATGTATTTTAGTAAATTCCTAGTTTGTGTGGAATTATTTAATATGATTGTTGTATATCAAGTCAATGCAGTACAAATATTCTAATAAAATTTCGTAACATTGGTTTATACCCTTTATAAAATATATTTAAGTCCTTTCACAGTTACGATTGCATACAACTGCTATTTCGGCTCCACGTATCTGCCCAAAACTGCTGAGATATTTTTGTAGCATTTCTACATTTTTTCGGATAATTGTATCTTATATAAGTATGATTTGACAGTCGCAATTTTTTATGTAATTAAATTTATTTACATATTTTCGCAAATAAAGATTATTACATACCTATTAGGTAACATCTCAAGTCTTTCATTTTTATGTGTATAGGTATTTGCTTAAATACCCCATTTTTGTTTTACTGTTATTTTACAAAACTTGTGGTTCATTTTCATAGATTCATAAGTTTTCTCTGCTTATTATAATCTGACTCGTTTTATTACTTCGTTTCATTATTTTCATTCATAATCTTCCAAAATTAAAACAAAAACTTGGTTTCACTAAAGTTCTTTATTATCTTATAATACAAATAACGTTATGTACATCATTATAATTACAATAATATTATATAATTATTAACATTAACAGTACTATGTTACAAAATACTAAACAATACAGATAATAAATCAGAATTTTCTGTATTGCATTGTCTTTCGAAATAAAATAACTTTTATTACATTTTAAATGTCCAGACAATTTTTTGTTAATATTTAGTTGATATACCCAAATTACAAAAACTAAAAATTTCTTGGTACAAATTTATTCATCTATTTTAAATGATAAAGAATCAATAGGTAATTATTCTGGATCGTCAGATTAAATAGGAATGCTAGAGATATATTAATTGATTTAAAAAAAATAAGATTAAAAATAAAAGTCATTTTATGCCGAAAAAGAGGAGAATAAAAATGTGCCCCATCAATTGGTATGTACAAAGTTTTCTAAACATAACATATTATTTTTCTTAAATTACATATTTGATGTGAATAATAGAATAAGTAATTTTGTCATACTTTATTAATGCATGTAGTTTTAGTATAGTTAGAAAAAAAAACCGGCAGACAATAAATTAGCTAAACAAAAAAATTATAATTAAAATTAAGGCGAGGCTCTCTTATAAGTCAAATAATGGTGGCAATTCTATTGCTAAAACTACACTTAATTTAGGTTTAGTTTAATCAAATTTCATTTACAATTCTGGAAATAAGTAAGATAAATAAAATTTACTTACAATATTGTAGTTTACAGGAGTATGATTGAACTACTACTACAGAATGACGTTAAAACAAAGCCACAATGAAATTCTATTTTTTCAATCCGATTTAAATAATGCTAAACAGAATTGACACCATTATATTCGACAAATTAACTTTAATATACCATCAGATTAATTTAATATACAGAGATGAAAATTAAAACAACCATTGGCACTATTTGAAACAACTTCACTCGTACATTGTACATTTTCGGTGAAAAATTTGGCTTGAAAATAATTATTCATACACTCGTATTATTGCTAACATTTTGTATCGTATTTGTATATTATATACACGGCACATAATTCGTTAAAATAATATCTAATCAAACAAATATACCTCAGTGCTTTATTTACATAACTTATAAATAATAAAATAAGGTACATACTTGAAACGATTACACTTTTAGATAAAGGGAATATTATTTTAAGCTAGAACTGGGAATGTTAAAGTTATTTTATGCCTAAATTATATTTCTCGTTAGAATTAAAAGACTGATTGTTACGTAAATTTTGTATCCATGCAAATCATGTTTAAACAAAAGACTGTAATTAATTTCTTGGCGTATTGTATACGATGAGCTTATGATATTCCCTTTCCTAAAATTCGAGATATTAATTATTTTAGTACTACAAATCACTTCCACAGACCGCGCGTATTGTGGTACGGTATTCGTGTTTTCACTCACAAGCCTTCATACTTATACTAGAAGGCTTAATTCGTTATAAGTGCGCCAATATGTCAATTTCTGATGGTGGCGCGACGTGGGTCATATGCGTTTCATTGAGTGCTGTTGATCCTGATACGGTAACGATGACGGGCTGGGCATCAGTGTGAACTATGGTCACTAGATGTTCGTCTGGGTCTTTCTCCTGTTCAGTGGGCTTGGGAAGCGATTCGAGCGTGTCATCAGCGTATTTGAGGTCGAGTGGCGTGAGCGTCGGCAGCGAATCCGTGACCGTGACGGGGGGGTCACTGCGGGGGGCGCGGTATGAAGGCGGACCGCTGTACTCGGAGCCGCACCACGCAGCGCCAGAACCTCTGTGGAGAATGATAAATGTTATTTTTTTTCTCGATTTAAAACGGATAAGAGGAAGGAAACTATAGCACCGACTTTAAATTTCTTTCACCCACTGGAAGCTACATTGTACGCAGGTAGCATAGACTATAATTTACGCGGGTACACTCCACGGAAATTACGTAGCATACTAAAGTGAGACACTTGACGGGTCTTCCGTCAAATTTGCCCCGACCCTTACTCTTGACAAAATTGACTTCCTCATAGATGCTATGATTAATGCAATGTAGTCAAAGACATGAGGAATAAGTTGTCATGAATTCAAATTTCGGCACATATTGCATAATCTATATTATTGCCACGCGTGCTTGTTTTAAAACAGATTTACACATTTAGAATTATCATAGCCTCTGGATGAAGCCAATTTAACTTTTATCTATTGAAATTTATTATATAATATTGAAGACAAATGTATTATAAATATAACATTAAGAAAAATATCTTCAATCCACTTTAAAATAGGTGTAACGGTTATACAGTTTGTTATGATATTTATAAACGATTTCAGTTTAAGTACGACTGTCGCAAAACTAAACTGAATGAAGTGAAATAAAATTAAAAATTTTCGGAAATTTCATTTGAAATGTATAATGGTAATATCACAATTAATATGAAAAGTTAGTGGTGTAGCTTACGTAATCAGTAAAGATTTCTTGGTATACTTACTAGCAAAATTAAAAAGTAAAGTGTATATAAATTCTGGGAATATAAATTACCTGACTAGACTAGCTGAATTTGACCTGTACGTAGGAGGCGGAGACACCGCGGGCGCACTTCTGTCGAGGAGAAGTAACCTGAAATGAAAACATTTGTTCAACAACCCTTCTACTTCCAAACTCCAGCGGAAAGTTTCACTAAAATAAGCTACAAGTTCCGGGCTTAGATTTTTGAATGCAAAATTCGGGATTTGCTTTCTTTGTAAACAATTAAATATTCAGTTATAGACTGTGGCGAGTTATCCGCCAAATCAAAGTGATCTTAGAAAAGAAAATCTTCTGTTAAACATAATTTATTACTAAAATATTTCCACAACTAATTAAGAAATGAACATTTAAAGTCTTAATTAGACACGATCGCATAGCATGAAGAAGTCGAATAGGTCGAGACTCGAGAGGGATGAGATGTAGACAATAAGTTGATCATGCTACGCGTTTAGATGCGAGTTTTTGTGACGAATGGCATTAAGTCGAAAGTAAGATATTGTATTTGCATTCCCGATAAAAGTGACATTTGGGTGTAGACAACCCGTTCGATTTAGTCATGCTGCGTGTGTATATGTGACCTTTTTTATGAAAAAAAGAAACGCATGCCTTGCCGCCTCTTCAGCACGAGTCAGCGAGCTACTAATCCCACGAGATGGCTAGTCAATTGCAGAAGCATATAGGTATTATATACCAACCAAAACCCTCCTAGATTTTTCCCTATTGCAGACCTTGTATTATGGTAGACCTTGATCACGCAAAAACATACATACCTGAGTCTATACTCTTGCATAGAAGCTTGGTACGTTGGCGGCGGTGGTCTGTAGTGGAATTCTGGGTACAGCATCGCTGCGTACGGGTGATGTGGTCGGGCATAACTCGGTGGTAACCTCGGGACAAGGCGACGGCATGATGCTCTCCGGAGACCTAGCAATGCACATGGAGCATCTCGAGCTCCCAGCCGCCATGCTACCACGGCTGCTGTCACAAGCACTACCCCTATACCTGGAAATCATAATTCATCATCATCATTACCTGTCTTTTAATGTACCCAATGCTGGGGATCAGGCGTTTCCTATGGATGGAATTCACTTCACTTATGACTTCAGATGCAGCCAGGACTAACTGATTAACGTGCCTTCCGAAGCACGGAGGAGCTCAAAATAATAAATTTGGCCACTCATCCCACACGAACCATATGACCGGCTTTTGCGAAAATTGCGTCATCTGGCTCCTCAAAAGAATAGAATTACAGTTCCTGTGTTGCAGTAACTTTGTAGTAGATGAATCCAACTAAACTACACTTCATTTATACTAATACCTACATGAACCAGTAAGTGTGTTTATATCCTTATTTCCCGTCGCGAAGCGTCGCAATATTATGATTTTATATAAACTTAGTCGAGAGACTGAATAGTGAGATCGACTAGTTTTTATCGCAAAAAAACTCAACTCAATGGTGACAGTTAATTGGTTTTAAAAATATATATATATATATATATATATATATATATATATATATTTTGACAAAAGCTTTGATGACTATTAAGCAATATTCTAATGAGAATCTTCGTTTGAATGTAATTTGTAATAAAACGAAATGCACCAAAATAACATTATAAACATCAAATTCATAATAAAGAGCGCCGGCAAAAATTTATGCTATTCTTTAAGCATGAAAAAAGGAAACAGCAATATGGAATTTTATCACGCTCGAATAGCATAGACACAAAAGAACGCGATAATGAAACGATAACCAATTTGTAACGGAGAGTATGAACTTAGAACCGACTGCAATACACCAACTGTTATTATTATGTGTATATGTTATACGGACGTGTATGCTTAATGATATTGTAATAATTCATAAATTAGGAAGATGAGTCTACTTTATTTCCTAATGGCAAATTCACTTAATTAATATTTTTTTACTGATTAAATCTCGTGACTTTAGTCATAATAAATTAAATGGCACCTTCATTAATACATGCGAATTTAATAAATTAATTATTTTTGACAATTTAAGACAGCGCATAAAGCAAATCATTCATATCAAATTGATTGTTGACGAGTTATTAAATAAAAAAAACACGTTTCCAGGTGATTTCTTATTTATGGCGTCAATTTATATTTTTGGACAGAAAAAAACATATCTCTAAAGTTCAATGATATTTCTTACTTTTCGTAATTATAAGGTTATATCTCATTTTCTCTACAGCTTTATGCTCTAAAAGTTCAAAAGTGTATTCTGTAAAAAAATCACGAACTCGACTTCGAGTAAAGCTATGTCTAAACAGCAAAGAGGTTGAGTCAAATAAAATCTACTACAGAACGTAATAAAGTTTTATATAATTGAGCTTCAATTCTGTGATAGCTATGTAGCTAACGTTATTTTATAACAGAATAGCAAGACTAAAAATGGCGGAAAATTCAGTATTGGTATATGAGACCGATATGACCGATGACAGCACCGTTGGCAGCAAACATACCCGCCATTTAATCGTAAAATATTTGACCAGTGACAACACGAAAGTTGGCGGCCGTTACGCGTGAAGTTTGCACACCAGACTGACTGACGCGAACAAATTGCCTCCAACAATAGATCGCTTGTCTGTAACAACAACATCATTTGTCCCTAACGGTAATGAAAATCCAATTAATTCCGCTTTCGAAACTCATTCGAAGTTTAATTGAAAACTTGAGGGCGAACTCGACTTTGTGAATGATGTAATGAAATTTCGGACAGACTTGTTATTGTCATATGCAGTGCGAATACTCAATGAGCTCTCAAGATTGTTACATGCTTTATTACGGCGATCTGTTATTTTGCACAGGCTGTTTCGCCCTTAAATATTAATACCTAACACCGAGTTGTGCGAACATCCATTAAAATTCTTATTAATTTAATACGACATCATCGATACAAATTTTCAAAATTAAAACACCCATTATAGCTTAAAGAAATGAAGTTTAATGGAAGTTTGTGCAATTGGGTGTAGAGCCTTTAAATTAACTTAGCAGTTTGGAAAAAAATCAAAATCCACGTGAGTAATTAATTTTGATAATTAAATTGATGACTTAGCTTTTTAAATATTTTAAAAAACTTGCAATCAATTAACCATGCTAACTACAGCACGATACATCAATTAAAAGAATAAACCTATTGCAACTAAATAGGAAATAAGAAGTACATTTAAGGAAATTAACGGCTCAGAAATATTATGAAGAACAGTCACTTAGATATTTAGCTAATAGCTTCATTCATTAAAACTAGGTAAGTTAAACAAACGTACTGAGATAATTAATCACTTGACAATAATTATTGTTACTAATAGTCACCCACAGACCGAAAGTGTCAGGCGAGAATAATTAACAGGATAAGTAATCGAAAAAATTATTAGATTGATTCCAAATTTAATTCCAAAGCATCTAAATGTACATCACTACTGTCCTTCTAGTTCCGTTTTGTTAAATTGTTCATCGGACCGGATAACTTTAATCAGCTATGAAATAAAAACACAGCTGAGCATGAAATGAGTAACAAACTGCTGTGATCAAAGACTTTGAGGAATTTTTATTCAAACGAGCAGGTTTGGTGTTTGCACTTCGTCAAGCCATTGTTTTAAGTATGTGTTTTTTTACTTTATCTGTTTTTTTCCCACTACCAGACTTTTACGCTTTCGAAAATTCACAAAAGGTTTTATATGTTCGCTGTCTTTGGGACAGTGTATTCTATTATTTTCGTATATAATAACATGTCAATCAGGATGGCCAAAACTGTGATATTATCCAATTTAATTTAAACCTCAATAAATGTCAGGTGTGTACTAAATTAATCGAGGGAAAATAATACTAATTAGTGGCTTCTGATTTGGTAGTGTGAGACATAAAAAAAGTCCGTTACCAAAATCTTTATTACTTAATTTTTGAATTTTTACATGGAATCGCCTCAGAAACTACTGAACCGATTTGAAAACTTCATTGACCTACGGGAAGTTACATCATACGCGGTTGGTATAGGCTATAATTAACGCGGGTAAAGTCGCAGGAAAACAGTTAGTTGTCTTAAATTTCAAGTCTGCTTACTCATTTTCATTATTAATTTCATAGCCACAAGATACATATTTGACATTACATGACACTAACAATTTCATATAGTATTTGATATTCAGCACAGCAACGCGAAGTATAGACAAACGAGCAATTTCTGATGATTTATGGGATATCCATACTTCCACACTAATATTATTATAAATTGGGTGTATGTATTTATCCTTTTTGTATTGCAAACGAGCGTTGATGTGGATCGATAGGAACACAGGCAACGTTATCTAACCAAGAACATTTTCTGAGGAATCACCCATCTATACAAATATTATAATGAAGTAAACTTTCCAACTCAATTTTTTTTTTCTTAATCCTCGGATATACTGATCTGTTTGTGAAATTCTTTCACCTACGGGAAGCTACTTTCGCCATTTTATCTATAATTTACGCATTCAAAGTCGCGCGAAAACAACAAGGCGTATAATAATGTACTTACCTATCATAAGTAGAAGTAAAGTAAGAGGGGCCCTCGGGTGCGGCCTGAGAGCCCCGAGTACAGCCCCCGCAGCCACGAGACATGCGCCAACAACGCCCAGGAACAGTACACACAGCCTCAGCGGTGGGCGCCCACAACACGATTTTGGTGCGTTTCCTTCGCCCTCCGAACAGGCATACGCCGCACCTCTACCCGATCTGTAAAAAAGAAATAATTATTTATTTTATGTTATTTACATAACAACAAATAATGTTGTGTCTGATTGTTTAAAACTTGTAGATTTTACCTTCTTTGTGTACAATTTATTTTTATATCTAACAAGAATTAAATCAAAATGTGCCCCATCAATACTTAGTTAATACAAAATACTTTAAATATCGCTTAACATTTCTCTTGAAATTATAAATGTTTACAGTGTAAAAACTTTAATAAATATTTATTACTCTTTTTTTGAGTAATAAGAAATACGGTTGGTATGGTAACGATAAAAAGTTGTTATAATAACAACCGTGAACGTCTAGAACAAACAGTTAATGACAAATTTCAATGTAAATGCATTCTTTCATTCTTTCTTTTGAAATCTCTTAAAATTCCATATTCAATTGACTGCGTAGTACGTACCTACCCCTAATATTCAATTTGCATTTTCCTTATAAAATTTCACATGAACGAATTACGTTTGAATTCTCCACAGATGTGATGGACCATGAGGAAATCTGCAGCTTTATCAGATATAAGTATTTTTCTTATAGCGATAAATTCATTTAACAGGAAGGTTCGCCTTTAAAGAGACTATTCAGCGGGGCACTATGAAAAGTATTCAGTGGACTTGAAACGAAAAATGTGTTTTTTATCAAATTCGAGGCGTAAGATGACTTGTCAGATTAAAAACAGAGGCTTGAGAAATGTTATTGTAAGTACTTGCTATAATTTATCAAATGTCCGAGTGAGAGAACGCTCGCCGAAAGACAGCTGCGCAATGAGTTCTGAACTTATTTCTACCACAAGAGAAATACAAATCGACAAAAGGTATAAACACAATAATGTTTTATTTCTACATGGAGCTCGGTGGCAAGCGCCTTCGGTTTGCGTTGCGGTGTTAATGCCACTTTTGCAAGGGCTAGTTTATAGAATGGTTGACCAATTTACTACGTCAAGCTTTTCTGTGTTTCGGTACGCACCTTAAGTAATTGATCCCGTGTGCATCTATAGTCGTCAACACCCACCAATTCGCAATCGACCCGCGTGGTGGGTCATCATAGCACAGAATATAACATAATATAATCTTCATGCAAAATGCGCTGCAGCAACGCATACATAGACAACGTTCATTACATGATATCTAGCATTATTTTTTGTTTTTTTTAAACGTTTTGTGTTGCATTGTGTGTTTATTGGTTTGATACTACGAAAGTTTTTTATGCATAGGCCAAAATCGACAATCCTAGCTCGACCGTCAAAAGTACGTTTGAAAAAAGTACATACATGTGATTACCTGCTGTTATATTCTGCGGTCCAATGATAGGGGAATGGGCGATGCCCATTCTCCCTCTATTCTATTAATAAGCTGGTGGTGGTGATAACCAGTGGTCGGAATTAGGTAGAGTTATTCATGTACTTACACTGATTTCATACAGCGAAAGAATAAAGTGGATATGCCTCAAATCCCGAGATTAATTTTAAAGAGCTGAAAAAGTCCCATGATTTTTTAAATAAAAAGTTATTTACTTTTACTCAATTTAAACTACTGCATGCATGACGTTGCCAAACTTACATAAATGAAAGAAAAAAATAAAGAAATAAGAAATAATGAAATCCCTGGAAGGTCCACATTAATATCAACATTTCGATGCAAGTACATAAATAACTTTACCTAATTCCGACCTCTGGTGATAACATATTCTACATACATACGAAACTTATTTTTGTACCGGTCTCTAAGTACCGAAATAATAAATGTTTGGAATAGTCATTACAATCATATCGAAATAATATTTCTTAATGTCAAATAACATTAAAAAATTTAATGTTCCGATAAAAATGGGCCTAAAATTTGTATTATACAGGCATCCTTATCAATCGAACAAAAGAACGTTTTCCATTTATTTAAAGAATTCAATTAATTTCGTTTCAATTTATTCACCTAACAATCAGTTTGATATCCGCTAAGGTCTTTCATTAAATTAATTCGTTTAGAATAAATCTGATTATATCGTATAATTTAAATAATACAGCGACGTTATGAATAAATCAATGGTAGACATAAATTTTATCACTTCACTTTCAAGTCACGTAGCTCATTGACATATTGATTTACATAATAAGCCTCTCAATGATAGAATCCGCTGTATTGATAACTTCTAAGCTTACACCATTCGAATTATTCGACATGAATAGGTATGGAATCATATTCAAGATATTTGAATCGTTCAACGGTGACAGATAAAGGGAACGCGACACAATGTGACCAATGGAGTTTGAAATCGTCAAGCATGAAGCGTGACAGAGATAAAGACGAGTGTGTTTTGTCTGCTCGTGTGTTCCGATAAAGCCCATTAGCTATTAACATCATAAGAGCCCTCTTCCTTTGGGGTCAGATGATAGGGTCATCGACCTCTAGTGCATTCAGCCGTACAACCGGCGCAATGAAGACGGATTAAGCTGTCGACCTATAAACAGCACACTTTACTGCTAGAAATAATAATATGCCAACCATCACTTTTCAATCAATGTTTTAAACATTTCAAATGATTGCGACTTTAAATTTTCTTTTAAAGTTATTGTGATAATAAGCTAATAATTTTAATGTGCCTTCGTCGGGTATAAGAAGATATGTAACTTTTTATGCCTTCTTAAACAAAGAAACAAATGTTCTTTGTTTATTAGACGATGGTACTCACTTTAACACTTAAAGATAAATATTTTGGGAGATTACGATAACGCTCATATTCAAAACTTTTTACTGAAAGTAGCGGTATGTATTGTAGAAAAAAAAACAATGTAACATGATAACAAACAATTATACAGGACGACACAGGAAGACCATTAGTACAGGAAAAAGTATAAACGGCCACCGGCAATAAAGCTACCTGCGTATTATATTGTAGCATAAAATACATTTAAGTTTGCTCAGGTAAAGTTCCTTTACAAATGTTATATAATAACAACGCGTCTATTTCCAAAATACCAAATTCACCATTGTAGCTTTCACTCATTGAAACCAGGATGAACTTGGTTTCCAATCTTGGATCGTGTCCGAAATTTGGTTTTCAATTGTCGTCTAGATGATTGGCTACAAGAAAGTCCACTTCAATTGAGTCGCTGGTTCAAAATGTGGATTTAAACCCAATAATCAATTACAAAACTGCAGTTCTATATATTAAGAGCATGTTTAAAGTCAACAGTTCTCTTTGGCGAATTTGCTTTATTTCGGTTTTTAATTTTTACAATTGTATGTTTAATTTCGCGTTTTTGTCGTATTTTGTCAAATTGAAAAGGAAAAAAACTGAATAAATGAGAAATATTAAAATTCCACACTTAATTGTATATCAATACATAGTATAAAACAAAGTATGCTTAGTATACTTATTTCTTTAAAACTACGTAATGGATTTACAATATAATACATAACCACGCAGGCGAAGCCGCTTCGCGAAAAGCTAGAGTTTATATAAAACTAGCTTTTCGCCATAGCATCTTCCCCCACATGGTCCCCAGAGAATTATTTACTGGGATAAAAATGCTTAAATTTTAATTCAGGCTTAGAATTATCTGTATTCCCAATTTTATCAACATAAGTTTTTTTTTGCTTGAAAGAGTAATAAATAAGAGCAGTAAACTCAAAAAATCTAACAGCATTCGAAATCGTCATTACCTTCAGCTGTTGTCATTACCCTCGTTAATTGAAGTTATACATATTATCAAAAGGTTTTGATAAACCGTTTAAAGTTATAACAAGTTACCTAGAAAATGATTACACGCTTAGCTCCATTTGAGAGTTTAAGCTTCATATCTGGCGTAGTCACGAGCGCCCGTTAGTTGCATGCATTATGCATTGTGGCCTCGCATTCGCTTATGCAGATACTCCACGTAAACTGGAGCATCATTTAAAAGTGTATTTTGATCTGGATGACATAATACTTTCTGGAATAAACTGTATTCTCTCACACTGAGAATTATGTTTAATTCAAATATTAGGCGATTTCAAAACTTTTTCGTTGTCATAGCGCATTTAACAAATGATACTTCTTATTTATTTAACAATCGATATGATATGTTAATGGTGAAGGCAAGAAGGTTTAATAAAAAAACGAGTCTGACTTATGAACAGAGGATTCCGAACGAATATGATAATGTAAAAATTACACTATTTCTTTCAGATTTTTTGTAATCGAAAAAATTGTATTGGTAATAAACTAGTTTCTGTATTTATTTCTAAAATTTAAGACCCAATAATTTCAGAGATCATCATAATTATTATCACCAGCCTAGAATTAATATCCTCACTTCTGGAACGCAGGCCTTTCATATCGAATAGGGAGTATGGCCATACTGCCTATTCGATATGAAAGGCCTGTCCATACTAAAAGGGCAATGACTGACAACGCGAGACCAGTGTGGTGAGTGTAACGACTGCACATGTAGCTAGTAGGCTTGATGTGGCTTCCGAAGCATGAAAGAACTCGGAAAATACATTTTTGGTTACCCATCCCATGACCCTTACAAAAATTGCATAACTTCCCAATTGCAAATTGAACGTGCTAATTACTGCACGATCGAGATCATAGAAATATACTATAGACATATACTATCGACATCTTATTGTCTTTGGATATATCACAAGGTAACGTCGTCGTTTCAAATTTCCTTTATCACAAGGGATTTAGGTTATTAACTTGGAATCTAATCAATGTACCTTTGATTTTACTAAAATAAAAGCAAAATACCTGTATGAAATTGTATTATATCTATTAATTCGTAAGTTACGGGAAATGCTTTAAAAAATCCGTCAGCTCTAGGCACCCCGAGGTGGGACTCGACTCGACTGATAACGGACTCTTGTATAGTTTTAGTAAATTTTGCATTTATAGTGCTAAGTTAATATATTATTATATTAAAAATATTCTGACCAAGAATACTACTAGACGCGAACTTTTGGCCTGCTATCTCAGACGATTTTTTTCTAGTACCTTCATAT